AACAAAGACTGGGTATAAGAAAAATGTCCTCTGTTCGAGTTTCTTGAGTTGTCATCAATGGGTCTTTGGGGTGGTGCTTGCATATTATACATGTAATTTTGCTGTGGTGCCATATAGTGTGGCTGCATACCAGGGGCTTGGCACATCATTTGCCTTAGCATAGCAAATCCTTCTGATATGGATCCAGTGAGCTTCTCCATATTATTTGTTAGTTTTTCCATGTGATTCAAATGGGCTTTGTCCATATGGTCCATCCTTTCTAATAGCTGCTTTTTAATTTTAAGCTCCTCTTCAGACACATTTAAGAGCTGGTTATCTACTGGTAGCTTTCTTTTCAACTTTTCGCCTCTGTATTCTTTCAATTTTGCATTTAGTAAGTCTCTTCTTTAGTTGACGTCTTTACTACTTGAATTGCATGAAGCTTGTTGTGTTGGCTCAGGACTACCCACTGACTCCTGGTCAGCATTAAATGAATCGTCCTCACTGTCAAAAGACTTAGTACTAACAGATTCAGGAGTAGTATTGGTATCATCAATATCTGTAGATTCTACTCTTGACGGTATGGTTTCTGTGGCAGGCGAACCACCCCAGACTAACTCGCATTGCTCGAAGTATAACAGAACAACACGGCCATGACCACTTCTTCTACCACTGTCAACAGCCTGACGGAACTTTTAACGAATATGTTTCAGCTTGGAAGTCAAAATTGACTTAGTTAGTTCCCCTTTCTTATGTGGGTAATCTTTCCCAATTGAAGAAGCATTTTCTTGTGAAGGATATTGGTCATTGAAGAGATCTAAAATGTCAGAATATTTGGTTTGGCACGACTCCCAATCGATATTTTCCATAGTCTTTGCTGTTTTGTAATCCAATGTCACTTTAAGAAGCAGCAATACTTCATCGTCCGTCCAAACAAATGAGTTGTCTATGGTTTTTTTCTGTTTTTCTCTTAATTGAGACATTTTTTATGGTGTTTTTTAACAGGAATTTTTTTCGCTCTTCAAGCTCACACGTGTTGAAACCTCAAGTAAACAAACAAGAAAGCCGCGAATTTGGCGCCAAAATTATCGCAGGCTCAGCTTTCTTTGTAATAGTGCGCATGCTCTGTTGACTAATCCTTTGAGATGTCCGGATACGAATCGGATACGTGTGGACGGTCGTGTACAATTCGTTTACGCTACGTGTGGACGCAGATATTTTTGTATCCGCATAAAAAAATTTGCGGATACAAAAATCTCCGGATACGTGTGGACGGGGCCTAAGATTACACATCGTTATAAAACCATTAAATAAAAAAAAAATAAACACAATAAATTCTTTATTATGTTGAAGCGTAACTCTCTTAATGTTGACTGAAAATTTGGCGCTTGTCAAAAGTGAGAACCGGCTGGCCGTATAGGTGATTTTGGAAATTTTTTGAACGGTTTTGCTAAAAGCCCACGCGAGCTTCGTACGGTTCTGAATATTGAATGAGTGCAATTTGTCTTGAAAAATTGTGAAATACTCCATTTTGTCTGAGGTCTGTATGATAAAAACAGCACCTCATATTACTGTTTCACCTCAGATGTGATGTATAAAAAATATGAAATGTTGGTTTACACACACCCAGAGTTGTTGGCAAGATTTTGTTAAGTAAACTTGTCGAACGCAAAAAATTCGGCCTGATTTGTTTTGCAAGAATTCGTTTTCCAGGCCTAATCTACTGTGATCAAGAGCCATTATGGCTCTTAAATGTGATCGAAGATGATTGCTATTTTTTGGGTGTATATATACGGCTATCAATTAAAACTAAAATCACTTAGCCTTAGCTTTCCCAAAAAAGTCACATGTGCCCCTTAAGTTAACTGATTTGTGGATTACGAGTTTATTGTCTGATTTAAATTATAAATTTATTAATGGAAGCTTCGCTTTTAGCCCTGGCTAAATCTATATATTACATGTGACTGGTCGATGCTAAAGCTTCCCCCCTGTTCTCAAAGTGGAAAATTGCCCGTGATATCGGATCACTGTGCGCTTTTAAGAGACAAGTCAAAACACATCATTTATTTTATCATTCGATGCAAATTTTTCTTCCTTTTCATTGGCTGAAAGCCCACCACGTGACCTGCAAATAACTGCCTACAAATAATGGTCTGCTCATCGGCAATGTCGTCCAACTGTGTTTGGCTTTCACCGGCGAAAAATGTCTGATTGGTCGACGCGCGACCACGTGACATTGCCAAATTCAAAATGGCGGCAATACCTCCATCGTTTGTTTATACCAGTGGAAAGAAGGTTAATTGCGGCTTAATATGAGTTGCAAATGCATATACGGATATTTTTAGAATAGCCTTGACTTTTTATTATCCTTTTTCACCTATTCCTATTGGATTCGTTCCCTGCGATGCTCGTGTTTTGGCCGGTTTACCGGATTCAACTGCGGACTCTTCGGGGGGACTCTTCACGATCACGAAGGACAACAATACTTTTGATGAAAGCCGGGTCACTAGAAGGAACGGCCCTTGTTCACAGCTCAATGCAGCAGAGAAATAAGACACTAGGGGTCCTTTGAAATTCCTTAGACACCTGGAAGTTTTTTTTTTTTTTACTGAAAAGATAAAGCAAAATTATGTTTTCTCAAGCAAGACTTTCTAATTTATAAAAAGCTTGAACATGAGCTAAATGAACTGTGGTGTCTGCATTCATGTTGTTTTCATTGCAATTTTAATATCAAAACTTTAAGTCGTCTATGACCGAGCAGGTTTTTTCTTCTTTTTTCTTTTCAATGGTTACTGTGCTTGATCTGAATAAGATGATGAAATTTTTAAAATTAGGGAAAACTATATATGAAAGAAAAGAACTTTGATTGCAAATATGTTAGTTGCAAAAAATACTGATTATACTATATGATCTTTTTACTATATAGGTTAGAAAAGTGATGCGTAGTCAAAAGTGCTACAAAGGAGTAAAAACCCAGATCTTTCCATTAATCAATTTTATTGACACTGTCAGGGACATATACTTTGCTTGAGTACACATTTGTTGGTCAAAATCTTGTTTGTGAAGCTGCACTTTGTTTGATTCAGGATCAATCAATCTTTTCTGAAGAGAAATGAACAATAAAGTATGTTAACATGTCAGATACTTCAACACTGCCTTAGCCAACAACTAAGAAGAAACTCAACTTCATATCAAAAAAACAAAGCGAAAAATACTTCACTGTGAAACAACAACTCCTTCAAATATATACAACATTAAATTCATGCAAAATGAAGACCTGATGAGAAGTTAATAGGAAAAGAAGCAAATGATAATTACCATGAAACTATAACGTTTGAATGAGATCTGTATTTGAGTGTTCTCTCATAATTCTGACAGAAGATCAAAATTGGAAACTGCATATCCTACACAACTGCATTCATCAACATGATCCAACTAAAATTTCATTAAGACTCAAAGTTTATTCCAAACTTTAAACTTCTGTAAGTTTAATTTGTGAGGATTATTTTTTTTTTCTTGGAATAACTCTATCATTCACTCATATCTTTGCGCCAAAAAAAATTAAGCCGAAGATGAACAGAAAAACAAAAGCATTCTCAGGAATATTACCCTGTTCATCTCCTTCCAGGATCCAATTTTCAATCAAAGAAGCACCCCCCACAGAAAGCTTTGTGTGCAAAAATTTAGTACTAAAAAATTGCACACGGAGGAAATCATGTCCGTAAGTGCGGTTCCTAACGAAGTAACTCGTTTGTGGATAATCCCAAGCCAAATTTATGAGCAAAATAATCTAAACTTCGATCCCTCAATTATAAAATTGCAAGCCTAAATGTACAGCAGCTGTGCACATTGTAAACAGAATTTTTTTCACAAATCAGAATGTTGCTGGACCTATCGAACTGTAGCTCCAAGACGGTCCAAGTGTTTTAATGGGAACATTCTCACATTTTCTCATTCGACAGTTCGCATAAAACTGGTAACGTACAAAGCTGTAATAACGTGCAACAACAATGAAATTTGCATCGATCGACAAAATCACGTTTCGAACTACGCACTTTAGAAAACTGCCACAACCCGGCTGCTTTCGATATCCACTAGCCACAAGACAATTTACACAGAAAGAAAATGGCTAAGAATATTTCTTTACCTTCTTTATAATTTCCTTTTGTACCGAGTGACACGAGATTAATTAAGTTGAACCAAGCGTAAACGTATTTTTCTGCCATAAACATTGTAAACATGCGGAGATTAAGCATCTAAATATAGTTTTTCCAGCGACAAAGTACACGCAAAGTCATACTAATAAAACAAAGCCCAAAAATGTCTGTCCCTCTACTTTTTTTGTTGAATCCGTGATAAAAAACTTGATCTAAACAACATAAACATTTTGGGTAGCATTGTAATACGGTCTTCGATCAACAGTCGAATGTTATCGAATGCTAGATTCACAATCAAAGTCGAATTTTGACACAAAAACGGGATACACATTTAACAAAACTCTCCCTTCTGTGCAACTCGGTACAAGCTAATTTATATACCAAAACAAAGCCCAATAATTTTTCTTCCACTACTTTATAATTTCTTTTTGTACCGAGTTGCACGGAACATGCAGTAAACAAAAAGAGCAAAAATTACCCACCTTTTCGGCATGTCTTCCACACGCAAACCAGCGATCTCAACGTCAATAACACTAAATCAGACCATGCCAATGCAATTTTTCGCCAGTTTCAGGACGCTATATTCTCTAGAGAACACACTTCCGTCGAAACTTTGACCAAAATAATTTTTGATCTCTTACAGTGGCAAGAAATTGCAACGCTGTCACTGCCAAAAAAAGCTGCCATCGCCCCTTTCATCTCAACAACATTTCCCGGGCATTTTTGCCTCAGAGCCAATGCCATTGCGCGAAATCGATCACGTGTCATTTTTAGTAGAGCATGCGCAGACATTTTTCGCCGGTGAAGTGTTTGGCTGCAAATAATACTCTGCTCATGCGTAAACGAAACCACGCGTGATACGTTCTTGCGTGAAAAAAGGCAGATCGCTTCGCTTCCCGAAGACATTCATTAAAAAACAAACTTGATGATCGAATGATAAAACAATTAGTGAACTCGGTTATCACAAAATATCGTGATTTGCCAGTGTCTCGTACATCAATTATTTGCCTCAGCCTTCGGCTTCGGCAAATAATTGATCTGCACGCCAATATTTGTTAATTAGCTTTTACGTAGTTTTAACTTGATTTTTTTTCATTTTTGTTTTATTGTATTTTTATCAGCATTTCTATTTTTTATCGGTTTCATCTATCATAGATTCATTTCATAAATTTTAATTAGTATGACTGTAAAGCGCTTTTGATCATTTATATGTTAAAAGGCGCTATAGTAAATTTATAAATTATTAATATTATTAAATTACGGGAATGCGATGAGAATGCAGGGGGCGGGATAACCCCGCGTAAATAATGTCGGTCTACATGTATCTGCTTGCTTTAAAGCTTGCAATGAAACTTCAGAAAGCATATTCGCAAATTTGCGAAATAATAAACATACCTCAAAAACAGCTATAAAAGCAACCAGCAGAGTAGATACAAATTGGGTCGAAAACTTGAAATCTGAAAAAATCAGATTTTGTTAGACAAGGTAAAAATACTGTACAGCAAACAGGAATATTCTACAATCATGGACAAAAGTCTTGCGACACTTTTGCATTTCTAGGGCGCTTTCCAATTCACACAGGTCCAACCCATCATCCCACAAACAATGTTGGATGCGAGTATCAAGAATTCTTTTCCGAGTTTCAACTTTGTGTAGAGTGGGGGAGGGAGAAATGCAAGAAAATTTCGAAAAGGATGCACTGTCTTATGAGGGAACCGAGAAATGACAGAAAAATAACGATACTGCAGTACTGTCCCAGGGACTTTTGTCCATGGTTGAAGCTGTGTCGTTTTCGTAAGGGCTTCGTCCACACGAATCCGGATCGATTGAAACCGAACACATTTTTTTCACACGAAAAGACCTTCCTTCCTTCCCTTAGATCTCTTAAGAAATCCACACTAAAGAGTCAAAGCAATCCTCATGGCTTTCGATCTACTAAGCGGTAGGCCTTTTATTAAGACAAAGTGTCTAAATACCGGGAAGGGGGGGGGGTACTCATACAGCGTAGGCCATCCCCGAGGCCCAAACCTTTATCCTTTTATATACCATTCAATAAAACACAAAGGTGCCCATTCAGAGTATACCTCCCATTAAAAAAAGGTTACCTGTCTCGCATCTGTTTTCGGTCCTACAAGTATCGCGCCTCTTAATCTTAATAAATTGCTTAAACAGCAAGTATGCTTGTCATTCCGGACACTAGTGAGTTTCTTGGGTAATTACTTTAGACTTGCGCTGCTTACATTACCTCTAAGGTGTAGTGCTTCTGTTCGGCTCGAAGAGGACAGCGCCTTCCCTTTGTTAATTTTTTTATGTGTGGACATACACACACACATACATAACCTTTATTTCAATTCGAATTTTAGAGTAGCTACACTATATAGCTAATATCTTCGACATACATTTCATATGTTATTGATTATTACATTATTTTATTGACCGTTAGACAAGTAATTGTAGTTAGATGTCCCCAATTAGTGTACATTGTATGCTAGCGACCTCGACACTACATGTATAATGAAGTTCTTACTTACTTACTTACTTACTTACTTACTTAAAACAATCCTACTGGTTTTTTCAAAAAGACGGTCTCACACACCTGTCCTTGGTTTGTAGAAGAAGTAAATCGCCTTCATGTACCATTTCACCTCTGCCGAACTCCTTGAAAAGAAAATTGATTAACTAGACTTCATAAAACAACAACAACATTTATCGAAATATATTATTATCTTATTTACCCATGCTAATGAGAGTCATGGTCGAATGTTATGTGACAAATGCATTTGATAAAGGCCTGGCACAAATAAAATTCAATGTTGTTATGTAAAAAGTATTTTTATTAAAAAAGTGAGAGTTTGTAGGAGGATACGGAGAATATCCTCAAGATAATATTTGGGCTAAAATAAATGTTCTTGAGCAAATTTTCATACACATTACTCGAGTCAATAAGTGGCTTTAAAAATACTTACATGCTTGGCACGGAATTAAATAATTTCCGCACGTGCACTATTTCCGGCTCCCCTGCTATTCCTTCAGTTCCCTAAAAAATAACATAGGTACGTTTAATATATGAGAAATTTTGAATGATTCAGTGTAACCGTAGAAGAATCTACTCTTTTTATGCTACATAAAGACTATTTTTCGAGCAAAACTGGGTATGCTGTACATGAATGAAAACGCAAATGCTGGTCACACGAGTCGATCCTCATGCTATAGATTCACTTTTCTTAAACAAGACGCTGTGGAGCGTATATTTGGGCGTCGATATTTATTTATTTATTTGCTTACAATCTATGGATTAAAAAACCAAAGGATGAACTGTAAAGGAGTCCTAGACTCCATATAAAAACAGATCACCTAAAAATATATATAAACACAATAAAATAATAGTTTCAGAAAATACAGAAATATAAAAGCTACTTAAAAATCACTGAAAAATTTCCTAACTCTAGACTTAAAAATATTTACATTATCAGAAACACGAATGTCTAACGGTAGTTGATTCCACTGGTCAGTAATTCTATGGAAAAAACTATACTTCAAGACATTAGTTCTGGCATATTTCTTCTTTAAAGTTAAAGAGTCCTTAGCCCTAAGTGAGAAGCGGTCAGCTTCTGAGTGTAAATCTATAATTTTACTGATTTCAATATCAACGTTGCCATTAAGCACTTTATATAAGAAAGTCACGTCAGCCAGTGATCTTCTCTTCTCCAGTGACATGAGGTTTAACTTCTTTTTAAGATAAGTTTAGTCGCTCTTCTCTGTACTCTTTCCAGCTTATCAGTATTTCTCTTTGTATATGGAGACCACACCACTGAACAATATTCCAAATTTGAGCGGACCAATGAGCAGTAAAGAGTACGCAAGGTCTTAGGGTCATCCAGACCTTTACAAGTTCTCTTAACACCGAGCATTCTGTTAGCCTTGGATATACCAGGTGTGTGTGAAGTTTTTTGTGAGTAGTGCAGTAGCGTTGTATATTTTAGGTTTTAGTTGAGATGTGTGGAGTGGAAGGGGTGGATTTAAGTTGGACGTGGATTGATAAGATAATGGCTGTAGTTTGTTAATCAGTGAAACTGGTTTCTCGTAGAATTTAATACGAAGTAACAAAAAATATTTTTTTGGAAGGTAAAAGTGATTTTAGATGTTGCAGTGAAGTAGCTGTGGGAGTGCTAATTTGGTTATGAAGTGACAGTGTAGTTGCAGTCTGTTGAAATGAAGTGGTAGTTGTGAAAGATGTCATCAATAGTCGAAAACATACTAGTACTTTATATAAACGTTGTTAGACTTTCTGAATTTTTTTTTTAGAATTATTTTTCGGTTGTTTTTGGTAATATTTGTATGGAAAGAACTTGAATAACGGAAAGTTCATTTAATAAAGAGAAGGGGGCATGAAGATGTTGAGGTGGGGGGGGGGGGGGGGGGAAATTTTTGGGGGTGTTTGGGGGGGGTTGGGCAAATGGGTAAGGCCAGGGGGGGGGGGGTCACGGAAAATCGGGGCGGGTTTTGTCCCATTGCCGGCGGTGCACGGCGTTTTTGTCAAAAAACACAAAATGTGTGAAAGAGAGGGGGGGTGGGGGTGGGGGGGGGGGGGGGGTGGGGGGGGGGGGCTGAAATTTTGTGTGTGTGTTCGGGAGGCTTTGACAAATCGGTTAGGTCAAGGGGGAGGGCGTACCGTAAAATCTGGCCGGTCTTGCTCGCATTGCAGCCGGATCACGGCATCTTAGTTAAAAGAAACAGAAATCAACCTTGCGATTATATTATGACAACCGAGCCAGCCCCGTTAGCTGGGATCCCAGTATTGAGATCCCGAGCGGAAATTTTTCAAGTAATCACGCTTGCGGATCGGCCTGCCGAATGAAACAAGCGAGAAACAGTATAGCGGGTAATACACTGCTCATGCGCATTGCGTCTAATCTCTATATAAAAATGGCGGCTCTGGGCTGGCCCTTTTCGTGAAATAAATGCGTAATAGCAACCTGGAGATTAGGATCGCTCGCTCCCCTTCTCGCCCAAAATAATTAATTATTAACGTCTGTTGTCTACCTTATTAGGTTCCCTTGAGGAATGGAACCATTTCCTTTGGACTTCCACGCAAAGCAGAACAGCAAACCTTATGACAATAAAGATGAGGCAGATGTAGGTTGGAAGACCGGAGATAATTTGAACTGTCATCAGCACACTGGAAATACTCTGTAAGGCAATTGAATAGCTTATTTATTTATGACGATGGGTAAACGGTATTAAGCTCAAAGGCTGTTGTAACTAATATTAAAAATAATCACTCCTTACTCCAAAGCTGTTGATGCACTGGAAATCTATTGCAACTCCAAAGGAAAACCTTTATAAAGGAAAAAAATCATTGTCAACAAACTGATAGGAAAATTAGCCGATGAAAAAGTGTGAATTTGATGATCACATGATAATTTATACAAATACTATCAAACTCCCCTTAGAATCCCTGGGTTTATACATTTTCGTACGGGGTTTTAGAACGGGTGATAAGTGGGACGGGAGGGCGTTTACAACGGTACTAAAAAGGCGTTTCAAAACAAGCGACATAGCAGTGCTGGCTCTCTCAAAGTTCAAAATGTCGTAATAATCGAATTCATTTCAATACAAGATACGGGGGAGGGGTAATATCCGGGCCAGATGTATTTTTTTGGTTGCTTGCAGGTAGATAGGCCGCTAACCGAGGGAGGCGATAGTCTACCAACTTTCTGCGAGGCTAACATTTGAAAATCAGCATCTAAGAAAATCCTGAACAGCACCTTCTGATGACAGAAAGAGCTGATACGATTATATTTGAACACAGAAAGACGCTCAAGCTTACTATGTCCTTGATCAACACGAAAATGGGTTACTCTTCTATCAAGATAGATAGATTGATTGATTGAAAGTTTATTAATAATAACCATAAGTTGAATTAGGCGAATATTTACATTTGAATATAATTACTTGAAAATACTGCGACTAATTTGAAGCTAATTTATATAGAAATATGTAAAAAACGGATTATAGTAAACATTATGTAAATGCACTACAATAAACTTAAGATTTGTTAAAAAATAAAAACATATAAAATTCAGTAAAAGGCAATCGCAAATTGTAAAACTATACAAACACTGTTTAAGCCTTGAAGGAATTGAAGGTAATGGGTTACGAAATCTATTGGTCTCGAAAACGGGCCTAAATTTCCGTGTGTTTTTTTCAGTTCGAGGTACAGGTATTACACTGTAAGAGCAAGGAGAAGGCCGTGGAGCTTATCCGGTTCGTTCTGTAAGACTTCCTTAAATAGTATGTATACAAGTTCCTGGCGTCGGTTTGAATATTGAAATAAGCCTGATTCAACAAACGACTCACTGTATGAGCGGACAGGGAAAAATTATGCGCATAGTCTACTGTTTTTGTACTCCCCCAAAGTTCATTTGAGAGATACGCAGAAAGACCGTCGTAAAAGGCCGGACTCGCATACTCCGTGATAGGACGAATGCGGGTGCAGAAAAACTAATCAAGCTAACGGGTATCTAGGTCAGAGCGTTTAAGCTAAAATATCCTTTGCCTCCGTAGCCGGCGGCATCGTTCGCGCGATGACGTTTTGGAAGAGGAGCTGTGACCATTAAGCCGTGCGGTGAATGGCGGATTCGCCGCCAAGACTCTCACGAGCGCAAAAACAATTCCGCCAGTTACACAGGCTAACATAATCTACACAAGCGCTTCACTAAGATGGTGGAGCTGTCAACAGAGTTTTAACCGCCTGGACGGGGAATGGGGGGCGGAAATCGAGCACGAGGAATGGAAAAACAAAAAGTGGGAACAAAACAGAGAACTGGAAATAAAGTTACTGATAGGGTTAGGATGAAAGTTAAGTTTTGTCTTCGCATTTTTCATTTTCACGTTCTACGTGTTTGTTCCCCGTTCCCCGTTCCCCGTTCTCCGTTTTGTTAACATCCCAGCTCCCTGTTCTGAACGAATTCTTTGAATGGAAACCTGACAGTACCAGATCCCCCACGTCATCTTAAGATGTGTTTATTTAAATTTGTGACTTACCATACAGAAACGTAAAGAAATCCCACAAGTGACCCAACTAGCCTGTGGTCGGTTGTCATACAAGCAAACAGTGGGTAGAACAAAATTCCATACACAAGGATGGTAATTATGGCCTGAAAAACTGTACACAACATAAAAAGGTCAGTATTTTGATCGATCATATCACCCTAAAGCCTCTTTTATGGTCCGGTTCACTAGGCGAATGGCTCCGTAACCGAAAGCACACCCCATCTATATTATTTTCCTTTGAAAGAAGAAGAAAGTAAACTCTCATGAAGCTAAGGGTCAAGGAGATTGGGTGGCTTTGAACTGTGAATCGCTCAGATCACTGCACATAACAAGCCGCGGCCATATGAAAAAGAGCCCGTACAGACAAATCATAGCTCAGTCAATTCCATTCCAAGTGTGTCCCCCCGCCGGGCATTTGTCAGGCATTTGTCGCCCGGCGGTAGGGTCTTCTAGAGGCGGTTAACATCGTTCCTTGTTCAATATTTCATCTAAAAATATGCCTTTTTGTATAGCTATAGAAATTTCTATAAAGAATATTTCAAATGCTTTAAAAGATACGTGTGGTTTTTCGCTCCATTATCACCGTACCCTACAGTATTCTTTTTATGCATCCGTCTCAAGAAATTGCTTCCTGTCATCATGATCAGTTGGCACAGGAAAAACGACTAATGCAACGTTCCAAGAGTTTAATGGAAAAGACACTTTCTTTGTGAGCGAATGGTTGTGGCAGAGAGGCCTGGAAAACGAGGTATTTGAAAGCTATTATAAACTTCGTGTTTTGTTTGATCAATGCGACGATCAGATCAATACGTTGACGGAACGGTTCTATCGTGATGCCGGAAAATACTCATATTAAAAGACAGTCGGTTCTTTGTTTATCATCCACTATCTTAAATACCTTCAAAAATAATAAGAGAGGTACTGATTAAATTCTTGCTTAGTTCTGTCGTTTATATAAATCAGATCGATGTGACCTTTTTTGCAATAATTATAACTGGCGGCTAGAAGCGATTTGCGAAGGGTGCCGCTTACGCGTTTTGATCAGATTATTACAGATTTTCTATTCATATGGCATTTGCAGCTTTTTTACTGGAAACGGCAATTTTGGTGCTGTCCCGGGGTAGGGCATTTGCAACCTTTTTAAAGCCCCGCTGTGGGGCTTTTGTATGAGCCACCTGGCCCCACGGTATGGCATCTGCAGCTTAATTTTCCAAAAAAAAAAATGACAAGATGCTGGACAGGCACGCTTGGAACTTACCGAGCCATTATTCAACTGTAATTGGCTATAACGATCATTCGAACAGCACATATAGCTAAGTGAAAACAAAGGTATTCAAAGGCGTTTTCTGGAACGAAGGTGGACACCCTCTTTTTATCACATTTTTCTCATCGATTCTTGTACCAAGAATCGTGAAAAAAAAGTCTTTTGATAGACATCGAAATCTTTGGGCCTGGACATTTTTCAAGAAGAACTATTCAGCTTCATATACCAAGACGATTTTCAGGTTACGCATGCGCATTCCGACTTTGGGGCGTAAGGGAGTTCATCATCACTGCGGGTTATGATTGGATTTTACTGTCAATATATTTTTTTCAAATAAGTAATAGCAGGAGATACGTTAACGATTTCATCCTGGGCGACCAGGCTCATATGAACAAGTTGATCGATCCATATTTGCCTTGAAAATGACAAAACATCAACAGATGAACTTCTCGTCAACGAGTTCTCGCCAAATTTTCTATAAGCCGGTGAATTCTTGCAGGACTGTATGCCCATAGGATAAACTTTTTTCGCCTATCACGATAATATCGTTTTCTGCGACTACACAACGTTTACAACCAATAACAATTACACTTCTCACCGATACGTATTTATTTCTCTTTCCTGAAATAGCGCTAGCATAAGCAAGGAAATTCAAGGTGCTCCGGGTAAAATAAAAATATAACAAAAGAGATTCTAAAGACTTCTCGTATTTTGTTAATTCCATTGCCTTAGGGGCCGTCACTTTGTTAAATGTGTGTTAAATCCCGGCATTGCCCGCGTAAAATCCCTGCTATATCCCGCTATGCCCCGGTGCATAAGTAACTTTAGTATATAATAAATTAAAACAGTGGATAGTGTTTCTCGCGCGCTCCGATTGGCTACTCAATCAGTGAATATCCTGCACTATTCACTGATTCGCCTCCAGTTTCTCCGAGCGAGCGACACCAAACTCGCGTAAGTTTCGAGGAAAATGCCTTCTCGGTTTGCTGCCGTAACAAACAAAGAAATTTTACAACTAATCAAGCAAGCTGTTCCCGAAATACACGAAGAAGGTGACGAAGTTCCGGATGGAAGTTTTAACTGGTAAAGCTTTGTCTTTTTGACTTGAATTTATCGATAAAACCGGCGATAAAGTTTTTTGTTTACAAATGCAAATTAAGCTTAAGTCTTGCGTTACTTTATTTAGTTGACTTCTTCATAAATAAGCTTTAAACTAAATTTAATAATCCTTTTTACGGAATGATTTTAAATACAAAAAGAATTCACAACTCCTTTTGAGGAAATTTCCCCGCAAGAGCTTAACAAATGCCTTCAAAAGTTTTATTTGTCGGCAAGAAAAAGCGACGACCGCGGCCGTTCGGTCACTGCGTGCCAAAATTGTAATCGTTGCAGGCAACAGTAAATGAGTTAAAAACCATGTGCTCAATCATCTCACTGTTTTAGTATATACTAAAACAATTATTCACCTCAGTGTCGGTGGCTAACACCTCCACTTCGGTGAATAATTGTTATATATTTAGCCGTACGGGATCATTTTACGCTTCCGTGCAACTGCCTCCCCTAAGCCAACATTTTGCTCTAAGTAAGAACTAAGTGTTAATGTTGGTTTAGGGGAGGGGTAGATGGGCAGTTTCCCAGAAACGTAAAATGATCCGCCGTACGTAGGTATTACGGATTTATGGGTCCGGCAGTGGGGTCCCGTACTTACCCTTCACCCATGGAGGACCTCCTTCGATAAACATGCCAGTCTTCTCACTGAAGAAAAGTTCCATGCAAGTAGAGGCTGTAGCTCCAAAGGTAGCAGCAATGGTGAATCGGTTGTGTCTACCGCGTAGGAAGTTGATTGGCCTGAAGAGGAAGACAAAATCACTTTTAATGAATGAAGACGTTTTTTTGGAAAGTAATTTCAAATATTTTGAATGAATAAGTATGTGTAATCAAATGGTGACGAGTGATCCTAATAATTTCCCTCGCCTAAAGGCTCGGGAAATTATTAGGATTTGGACAAAACGCGCGTGAAATTATTCCCTAATTTCACGAGTTCACCAGTTGATTACCTATTAATATTTTGGGTGACAAATTACGTTCACAAGAAGCGATTTTTTTAAATTGTTTATTGTATTGAAAAAGTCCAAGGATTCCAAGCTTAAAAAAAGGTTAACTAAGCGTACCGTGCGGAAAGTTTTAATTTTCTGAATGTACAGACAACTTGAAAAAGCCCTTTAAACTGTTTTTGTTTTTCATTTTTGCTTTTCATTAAATGTTTCAAAGTTAAATCAACCGACGTCTCCCTTCTTTGTTCATGATTGGCCAAAATTCATGAATGAACTTGAAAACGCCGCCCTGGTTAAATGCGATCAATAATCCGCTAAAGCTATAGATCGTTTTCACTGTCACGCAACAAAAAAATAAATTGGAAACCGTCCAGTGGAAGAAGCCGAGAAAATGACATGTTACAAAAGACTAATATATAAACAATTTGTCCAAGTCTCAGGTCTTTGTGGCCCACAGTTTCTGAGTTATTTGCCGAAACGTTTCACGCACCCTTGTAGAGCTTTGTATGGAGACGCCATATTGGTGTACCGTTTTGGTCCACCAATATGGCCGCCGGAAATCAACAAAACATCTGGAGTTCACTTTTTCTATAAAAGCTCTTTCTTTTCACTCGAGAACCAGCCTACGTGCGCATAAACATATCTTGTAATACTTGAAATGGTTATACTGCTGAAAATCAAGAGGAGAGACTTTTTTCAACGAGACAGCATTCCTGTTTTGGTGTCACGCACTGTGAAAACTCGGAAGTTCGTATTGCTGTATTTTCGAAATGAAACATGCTACGGGAATGGAAACTTGAACAAAGATTTATTTTTTGTTTATCTTCAACCTAGTCTAAATACGAATTCGTAAAACCTCGCTGTTTTGACTTAACAGTTTGATGACGTCACTGTGAAAACCATCTATAAATGCCAGTTTAAAATGTCAGTGTTTGAAAATGTTTTCAGACTGTTAATAACAAACAGCAAACACGCCAAGTTATAATGTAGGCAAAAGAGCGTTAAGTCACTCGAATAGCTGGAAATCAATGTGGACAAAATTATTGAAGCTTACGGCTCGGTGTTAGAAGATGGCATTGAAGACGACGCGTAAGCCTGTCCTTGGTTTATCACCACATTACAATTGTGGAAATTATGTACATGGCCACTGCTAACCGCTGCACTTGACTGAATAAGCGGCTGAAGAGGAACTCGGCTGGTTGTCTGGTTGAACTGGGGTTCTTTGCCATCAATAATGTTAGATAGTTGACGCTGCTCTTCTTCGTTCCCGGAGTCATATGCTTCCACGCTCTGTTCTTGTCGATGGCCAGTTATTGTGATTATTTCGGATTTTGGGACTCCGCTGGCTTTTAGCTTCCTCACCACAGTTTTCCGGACCGAGTAGTTAGACAATCTTTTGTCTGGACACATCTCCTGTAAGGGTGAGTTTTCTTTCATAGTTGCCATGATTCTACAGCATTTTTACCCATTCGGCTTTTCTTGTACCAGACATCTGTTTTGGTGGGGTTGTCAATGCACGCCAAGTAAAAAGGGCCAGATAACTTTAAATCTTCAGGCCTCTTGGCCAGGTAACTCTTAAAAAGTGCGACAGGGCATCGTGAGTCGCCAGTTGCGAACATTTTAGGTAGTACAGACCCTGGTTGAAGTCGTAATCCTCCTTGCCGTGTTTTTGTGTGGCCTTCTGCGAATACTATGAACTCGTTGCCGTTGTCCTCTTTATTAAGCGTGAAATCCTCCACATTCATTGTGTAGTGTTCTTGGCAGCCACGTAAACCAAGATGCTGTGACAGGAGCCACCACATTGTGTAAAGGAGGGACCATGGAGATGAATTTCCAAGCTGTCCGCATTCCCACAGCACTTCTTCTTCTTCTCTTGTTAGGCTTCGTGACTCATTTGGCAATTTTCCTTTACCTTCGTTTCGCAGCTTACGCACCTTTCCCTCCAGTACTTTTGGAGAACTCAAAAATTCTCTGTCCTTTATAATTGACAAAGAGTACCCTTTCTCCTTCAGGTGGCGGTCAAGTGCTGCTTGCATTACTTTTAAGGAGCCAGGTTCGTACTCGGTTCCGTCTTGTTTACGGACAGAGGCATAAAACCACTCAAGAACTTTATCCAGCTGTTCAGGAGGAAGCTTCTCAGCGCTTTTGTCGAGGGTATTTTCATCACACCAGTTCTCAAAAACTCTCAACCAGTTAACTGTGCTTTTACGGGTGTTCATGTTTTCGGCAGCGTCTTTTAATGCCGCCACATCAGAATCTGTAACATCTTCAAACCTGGACGCCATTTTGGCTGCGTCGGAACGGTTGCCATGGCAATTTTGTCATTTCACATGTGAAATTATAAATTAACCCTGAAATTTCGCGCCAAAATTAAGGAGTAATTTGTCACCCATGATATTATACAATGTAATTCTGCTAACATTACTTTTCCCGGCTTCATTCTTTTGTATTAATGACTCTAAAGATGACCGTATAATGAAAACAAAATTTACGCCCTGGTGGGGCACTTCCAATAATTGCCTATACGGCCCGGAGCTAAAGGCTTCGCCCGAAAGGGGTACGTTATTCACGGTTCCGGAATATGAAAGGCCAGGGTATTCACAAGATGAAGTATATGAAAGCACTGTGAAAGGGTGGGAAAATTTATCATTTACTTTAAGTATTTTAATAACGAGCCTTTGATTAAATGTTTTGAAAAGATGTGCATTATGGCTAAATCATTTAAAATTATTAAACATCACACGAAAATGACAAGACTTTCTACTCTTAAGTTAAAGTTTAATAATGCTTACCATCAATACAATGAGAAAAATAAAAAAGGAGGGGAAAGATGGCGGGATATAACAGCAGGGGGAAACTACACTCCCATTCTAGGGCTAGTTTCCTTTCATAAAGCTAACTAACTTGTACATGCAAAACATTAAAAAAAATCCTTAGGATATAATACTACAAAGATAAAAAGGCCAAGCCATTTTCAAGATAATAATAATAATAATAATAATAATAATAATAATAATAATAATAATAATGATAATAATAATGTTTAATAATAACAATAACATAAAATAAGATTTATTGTTTTTATTGAAATACAACTTTACTTGAGCGCAAATAAATTAAAAGGGAGACTTGCCTAGATTCACAGGTAACATTAGACAGGAAAGAGTTCCATTCACTGACATAACGATTAAAAAAGGAATACTTAAAATAATTAGTACGAAAGGCCTGCGGCCTTAGCTTAAAATCATGGTTTCTACGAGTTCTTATTGTTCTTTTTCGTATTGAGTTAGGTATGTTAAAGGAGCATTATTTTTCAATGGAAGTTTATGGAGGGGTACATTTTTTGTCAAAACTGGTATATAAGAGGGTAAGGGGTTGGACCCTGAAAACTTTGTTGAGTAGCCAACATACTCATGTCCCGGAAGCGATATAATAGTTTATGTACTAATCTCTCAATACCTTGATAGAAAACTTACGTCAAGAGACCAGGATATCCATTGCAGTATTCAAGTTTGAAATGTTTTCTTCGTTTAAGGCATGCCAAAAGTACAATAATGGCAAGCTAAAAAGAACAAGTGTTAAATCCTCTGAATTTTGATAACATTTCAAAAGTGATGGGCAGAGGGGAAGATCGGCGAACAGTAATTACCAGAAATAGGTTGAGTTTGATCGTCCTGGTGAACGTAGTCCGGTCCTGAATAGGACAGTTGTTATCGACAGTGAATGACTTTTCGACTACCTGTGCGGCAGTCATCTGGAGAGTCAAAGTGAGTTGTATCATGTCAGTTGATGGTATTATACTCTGGTTATTGATAACATCNATAATAATAATAATAATAATAATAATAATAATAATAATAATAATAATAATGATAATAATAATGTTTAATAATAACAATAACATAAAATAAGATTTATTGTTTTTATTGAAATACAACTTTACTTGAGCGCAAATAAATTAAAAGGGAGACTTGCCTAGATTCACAGGTAACATTAGACAGGAAAGAGTTCCATTCACTGACATAACGATTAAAAAAGGAATACTTAAAATAATTAGTACGAAAGGCCTGCGGCCTTAGCTTAAAATCATGGTTTCTACGAGTTCTTATTGTTCTTTTTCGTATTGAGTTAGGTATGTTAAAGGAGCATTATTTTTCAATGGAAGTTTATGGAGGGGTACATTTTTTGTCAAAACTGGTATATAAGAGGGTAAGGGGTTGGACCCTGAAAACTTTGTTGAGTAGCCAACATACTCATGTCCCGGAAGCGATATAATAGTTTATGTACTAATCTCTCAATACCTTGATAGAAAACTTACGTCAAGAGACCAGGATATCCATTGCAGTATTCAAGTTTGAAATGTTTTCTTCGTTTAAGGCATGCCAAAAGTACAATAATGGCAAGCTAAAAAGAACAAGTGTTAAATCCTCTGAATTTTGATAACATTTCAAAAGTGATGGGCAGAGGGGAAGATCGGCGAACAGTAATTACCAGAAATAGGTTGAGTTTGATCGTCCTGGTGAACGTAGTCCGGTCCTGAATAGGACAGTTGTTATCGACAGTGAATGACTTTTCGACTACCTGTGCGGCAGTCATCTGGAGAGTCAAAGTGAGTTGTATCATGTCAGTTGATGGTATTATACTCTGGTTATTGATAACATCGCGACGTAATTAACCAATCAGATCAATAACCAGAGTATAATACCATCAACTGACGTGATACAACTCACTTTGACTCTGAAGATGACTAGCAACAACAGTCCTATTCAGGACTATCTTCACCCAGACGATCAAACTCAATGTACTTTTGAAATGACTCCTGGGTTCAAACCTTTCACAGTAATTACTAGATTCGAGAAAAGAACAAAAACAGTACTTCAGAGTAGTCTGAAATGTCATCGGTCTCTTCACCTGACTCCTCAACGGGTCAAGATCATTCTTAAGGCGCTGATACGGTACATTCTGTTTTTCTTGAGAGAAATGAGTCTTTGGACTGGAGCGCGATGTCCTGTAGTTTCTCTGTTGGGATTAGCTTTGTTTTGGCATGTGACTGTACTACGGGTAATACATTTTTGCTACTGAAGTGTTCAAAGCAAGACTGCAGTTTCGGTATTAAAGCGTTCCTCGTCAGATGCTTCTATGGTAAAGTCTTAACTTTGTGAAGAAAGGCTAATTCGAAGGCCACGCACGTTTCACTTTATTTCGAGCAATTTTCAGTCTCGTTCAACTAGGAGAGAACCTGGGAGCAAGGTTAAGCCTTGTTTAGCCTATCAACACTATTTCAAACCGGATGTTTTTCTTATCGCGTTCAGCTAATCATAAAAGGTTTTCCAATTCCTAATTCGGAAAGGCCAAAGGTAATAGCTAACGAAAAAATACCTACCATATTCACAAAAGGTAGTATACAAAACTGCGCAGCTCAACTGGTGACCAGAAATTAGAAGCTCCTAGACTTCACTGGCTACCAGTCAGACAGCGAATTACGTACAAAATACTACTTCTTACGAACAAAGCACTGAATGGCATGGCGCCAAAATATATAGCAGATCTCCTTCAGCCCTATACTTTGACGAGGCAATTACGATCTTCTTGAAAAAATCTGCTTGTAACACCAAAGTCTAATCTCAAGTTTTACGGTGACATATCTTTTAAAGTTGCTGCGCCCAGGCCCTGGAACTCCCTAACCGATGACATAAGATCAATCCAGAACCTTGATGTTTTTAAGAATAGGATTAAAACACTACTTTTTAGAGAGGCTTTTATTAGTTGGTTGACGAGCCTTTTTCTTTTTATTACACATATTTTCCTTAGTTTATCTTACCAAGTCGAATGTATCTTATCTTTTAGAAATTGATTTTTTAAAACTGTCATATATTTTCTTTAATAACCCAAATGTTTTTTAGTTTTAGAATTACGATTATTGTAAAGCACCATTGAGCTCATCGAAATGGCGCTACATAAATTCTTGTATAATTGTATTTTATTATTATTGTGAAAGTAGGTGACGTCACGGGTCAGCATTATAACGCTCGGAATTCAGACGTCTCTCTCGCCTAGCCACCCGTTGGGGGTGGTGCAAAGAGACAGATGACATTCACAGCTTCTAAGAACAATTTTCTGTTTGCCACGGCCCAAGACTCTCCTAGATAGCAGCTCAAGCATTCAGTGATCTGCAGTAATGTGGATGTTAACCATTTCACAGAAAGACCCAAATGGTTTGTGCATTGGCATAATGATGGTCAATTTACCAGGTTACTACAAAATTGCCTTTTACAGGGAAATATAATGTATGCTTTGAATCCAAAAAATGCGCAATTCAGACTATGTGTTAAGTGAAACTGGATCCAAGAGTAAAATGTAAATGGTAATTTTTCAGTTGGAAAAATGACCTTACCATTAACCTTTGTTGCAATATATATTTTTCGATTAATGGAGTGGTAACCTGCAGCCCTTTACTCAATTGTGTCAATTGATTCATCCTTAATCTGGTTCAGGCTAATACCAGGTCCTGTGGGGTGGGTGGGCAGGGGAAGAGAATAAATAAATACTTACAGCAGGACCAAGGCATCCCAGTTTAAAGATCCTTGGATCTATGGCTTGGCTACACCTATTTAAGAAACCATTATACTCCAGTACAATTGTTAGATTAAAAGAGATACTCTGGAAAGAGCCATTTGTAACTGACTGTCTAAAATTGTAAATGTAAAACTAGCATAGAGCATCACCATAAAAGTAACCGCTCTCCAAAAGTAACAATTGTGCAATTATAAAAAGGCAACTGGTATTATTAGTCATTATTTAAGCAATTGAAAACGTTTTCCGTGTTTGCATAGCTTGATATAAACACGAGAGGGGTTGGGAGAATTCGAGGCAGTTATGCAAACCCGAGACGAAGTCAAGGGTTTGGATAACTGTCAAGAATTCTCCCAATCCGTCGAGTGTTTATATCAGGCTATGCAAACATCGGAAAAAAGTTTTCTATTATTTTTATAAAATAAATTTCCTGAGAAAAAACGCAAAACTCTTTGTTACGGCACTGATTAAAAGATAAATTCTTTCCAGTGGCAAAGTCTTGTACAGGAAGTCTTGCACGCGTAATCAGTTCTTGTTTTGCGAAAAGATGCTTTCCAAAATACGGATTTTCTCGCTTAAAATGTCAGCTTAAGCGAAAAAAGGCTGACTCTGCTTGTTTGTAAAGATTTTCCAAGTTTTAGCCGACGAAGGAATGGGTAAATAAAGTAAACTTGTCGAGTTTTGATCACTAAAATTATTTCAAATTCGTGCTTGCGTGATTAGCGCGCGAAAAGCAAAACATCTCACGTCAAAGCCATGTTTACATACTCTCATGCAAACACTCCTCTCAGCCAATCAGAGCGCGCGTACTATCTTAGTTATTTTATAAAAAATAATGCAAAGAAGATCATTGCAGTTGGAGAACTCAAAGTATGGATAACTTTAGGTTTGCCGGGATACAAACCCTGGCCTCTGCAATACTGATGCAGCCTGTTCTAACCAACCGAGCTACCAAGCCAATGGGGAGCAGGCCACTCACAAAATTTTCGGAAAGATGAACTGGATGACGTTATGAATATATGAAATCCTTATATTGGAACCACAAAATGAGGAAATAAATGCAAAGAAGATCGTGGCAGTTAAAGATGCAACTTACATGCAGTTGCAATAAGAAAGAATGACATCCTGAGCAGTCGTTTCACTCGAAACACTTGCTTGCTACCTCCTCCCCTCGCCCCCCTCCCCCAACCCATAGTCAACCTCATCATTATTCCGGAGCCCCCTATTTTCCCGCACCAGACCCGCCTCAAAATCTTCATATCCGCTCCTCTCCATATCAATTTAAGTTTGGCTATTAAAAGGCTGCTAATAATGGAAGTAACAAGGAACGTTATTTTTGGAACTTTAAACAGTGGTTCTCTTGTGGGAAGTGCGGAATGAAAACTCGAAATTTGATTTTTCACGGCTAAATAAACCCAATGTATGAATTTTAACTAAAGCATTTTAATCAAATGAAATTAGCGAAGACGACATGTTAAGATTTACACCCAAAGAAATTAAATGATGTCTTAGCACTGACTTTTTGGGAATGTAAAAACACACACGCTCGTGTTTCGTTGAATATTAAAACTTTATAAGGCAATGTAGAGACAAACACGTTCACTTGGTCTTTCGGTCAGTGTAAAACGCAGACTGCGGACCGCAGACTGCGGACCAGGGGTAAAATGCAGACTGAGTGTAAAATGCAGACTGCAGACTGAGAGTAAAATGCAGGCTAGGGGTAAAATGCAGAATTAAGATCGACTGCAGACTTTGTAAACATTTGTGCTCCTTCTTCTCCACATAGGTGAATTATAGCCTCAGAGCAGGCGTTTTATTGTATTGAATCATTTTTTGACTCGCCCCAACTCTCGGTCAGTCGAAAGTCCAAATCGATTGCACAGCAAAATACGCCTGCTTTGCAGGCTAGGTGAATTAGCTAGCTGATATCACTTACACACCTCGCTTTCTTGCCGAAGGGCATTGCACATTCGCCAGAAGTTTCACGGGAACGTCCGAACAGCTTACGTCCGCCTACCTTGATTTGCAATACTTTCATAGAAGGTCATCCAAATTGCCTGCAGAACGTCTTTCTTTGTTGTTGGAATGATTTACTCCCATTTTTAACGCCATAATTCTTTCTGTACAGTATTTTGGCTCAGCAGCTTTTATTTAAGCGTAAACATCGTGTTGTACCAATTCACGGTCAGGTGTATCGAAAACTGACCGGAGCGTGAGGTCTCTCGGACAATGGATAATACTGATAATAGAAAGTAAAGTCTATTTATTATCCATGCTCGGACGAAAAAAAAAGGTTCAAGATTGCGATTATGTTTTTGGGTCGCCGACGAAGTTCCAGAGAGGAATGACTGGATTTGTGAAAGCAGATATATGTCGTCAAGTAAGTGTTTGTTTACGTGTATTTTGCGGGATTTTATTTGCCCTTTAACCCTTCCGCGACTACTGTTTATGCTCGGTCTGCATTTTACCCCAGTCTGCGTTTTACTCTCAGTCTGCAGTCTGCATTTTACACTCAGTCTGCATTTTACCCCGGGTCCGCAGTCTGCAGTCCGCAGTCCGCAGTCCGCAGTCTGCGTCTTACACTGACCGCTTGGTCTTTGGACTAAGGCAGTGATGCGTTAAACCATTAAATCAGATTAAATTGCAGGCGGGGGATTTTAATTCACCTCGAATAAAAATCTCTACAAGAATTGAGGTTTTAACCACCTTTATCAGCTAGATAAGGAAGAAAAATGAGACAAAATGCTGTACCTTTTAAACAACATTGAAATTCAAAATAAACTGCAAACTATTTACACTTACGTTACGGTTGTGTTGGATGAATTATTTGCTGAGGCGCCCGTGGCCATTTCTTTACTGATAGTACCGTATCTGCAGTTCAGGCGGTTTCTCACATTTGAACACGGTGCCTTTTTCGTCCAAACCTTCGCACAAGTTTCGTGAGAAAGCGACTTTCGAAGATTTTACAATCAAACCAACCTCAGAAGGGATAAAAGAAGCAAAATTCTCTTCGCTTTTTGTTTTGACTGTCGCGCAGCGTTCAGCGGCGACGACATCTGGACTACGAACGAAGTATCACGTGTCTTTGTCCAGTAACGCAAACACTGATTATGGATTAATTATTCCAAGTAACTTTTTCAGCTTTTTGCAAGGTAAAAATTATCATAAGTTATTTTTAAAGGTCTTTCAAAAGAAAGGAACTATTTTAAGAAAATAGAATAAGAAAGGTCTGCTATTGTGACTTTTTTTAACGTTTTCCTTTAGTCACGCGACAGGTCGAACGTTACAAGAGGGAATATATTGCGGCATGTTTTGTAAACAGTTAAAGAGAATGGATTCGTTTAAAACAGTTTAAACTCAGTCGCTGTTTCTGTTCTCCTAAAAACAACAGTCAGCTTAAATAGAAACACTTGGCCAAGTCAACCGGTCGACTCAATCGCTAGAGGCAATCTATGCTAGTCGTTGGAGCGCTAAGGTATTCATTCGACAAGAGCTTTTGTTTGATATTAAAATAATGAGTTAATGTAGCCAAATCTAGTCCTCTCATTTTTTGGAATAAAGTAAGTTAACCTGCAAATAATTGCAACAGGAGATATCGGAAAAAAATCCCAACTGTTTTTAACCCAGACACCTATCCTCACTAACATATCAAAAGTCTCAAAAAGTCCCATTAGGGGAAGTTTCTTAAAAACAGGATTCTCAGCATGAGATTTTTTTAAAAATGTTTTAAGATTTTATTTATGTTCACTGTAACTGCATATAGTCCATATTTTAAGATTAACTTTTAGTATAAATTATTAATTTTAAAGAGTATTTTAGTATAATTGTATAGTTTTTATTAGTTTTATCATTTTAATTTTTACCAGGGCCCCAATTGATGGCAGTGGCTAAGGCACTGTGCAATAATTATCAGAAGG